TTGTATGAACTGTCTTTCCCTTTCTCATTTAAAATTTTTACTTTTTTGTGCAGTTTTGTACTTTTTTCCTAAGGAGAACCCACAAAACCAAACAAGCTTGAAGTCTGTAAAACTAAGATCAGCCTCTGACAAACATTCATCTTCCTCAATTCCTTGTCTTGGGGTCTTAACCCCCAACTCCGGATTAATCTCATCAAACAAGTATAAAAAGAATAACCAATGAGAAAGTCATCCTTTATAACTCTCCCTAAAATAAACAATCCAGACAAGGATAACCACTGATCTATACAAAAACCATAAGACAAAAAGTTACTGGAAACAAGTTATCTGCATGGTGTCCAAGTGTCACCTCATATAGTCCTTGCTAATTCCAAAGGGATAAAGGCGCCCTTATAATGGAGACTACCTTAACCAAGTAATTAAACTTATAATTCCTAACAGAGGAGCCACCTAGCATGTATGTCCTTCCTGATGTAATGTAACATGTATCATCTTCCTGATGTAATGTAACATGTATCATCCCTATGGAGTATTATTGCCAAAAAAGAGCCAGTTTAATCTGAATCTAATTAAGCCTTTAGACCTAACTTTCAGTTTCCAGAAAAGCAAGGGATAGAGGGACAAGTTAAACAAGCCCCAAAGGAAACAAGGAGACAAGTCTAGAGTGTGGGATATTCTAGAAAACAAGAGATCTGATATCTTTAAAATGTCAATTTCATGGAAAAGTAAAAAGGTGGGAAGACCGTCTTAGAATACAAGAATAAATAAATATAATAATCAAAGGTAATATGTGAATTTTGGATCCTGGTTCTCCTTGGGCCACAACAACAGTTATTAAAGACATTTTGAACACTAGGAGAATCTGAACATGAACCAATTACTAAACAACATTAAAGAATTACTGTTAATTTTCCTTTGCATGACAACAGTAATGTGGTTTTGTAAAATTATAGTTTTATGTTTAAGAGATGCCTGCTGAAGTTTTTAGGGGTGAAGTTACTATGTTTACAACTTACTGTCAAATGGTGCATCAACTTTTCTTTATGTTTGAAAATTTATAAATTTATAAATATTTTTGAAAATAAAAAATTGAAACAAGTAGAAAAATAAATTGAAAATAAAATTTAAATTGAAAAATAAGTAAATTGAAAATCTGTACAATAAAAAATGGAAACAAGTAAAAATATATATATTTTTATCTCATTTGATCAATTTAGCCAAAGAGTTTTTAGTTGGGTCAAAGAAATTTTATTCTTGTCAAATATTAGCAATGAAACAGTATCTAAAGCCTAGGGGGTAATGCTTTCAGCTGCCATATTTTACCAAATACAGTGGATCCTTGAACAACATGGGTGTGAACTATGCAGATCCACTTACATGAGCATTTCCTTCCACCTCTGCTACCCATGAGACAATAAGACCAACTCCTTCTCCTCTTCCTCCTCCTCCTCAATGTGAAGGTGATGAGGATAAAGACCTTTATAATGATCTACTTCCACTTAACAAATAGTGCATACATTTTCTCTTCCTTATGAAGATCTTAAAAACATTTTATTTTCTCTAGCTTACTGTAACAATACAGTATATAATACATATAACATACAAAATGTGTGTGTATGTTATCGGTAAAGCCTCACCAGTTTTTGGGTAGGTTGACTTAACCAGTCAAGAGTAGGTTATTGATAGTTAAGTCTTTGGAGTGTCAAAAATTATACACGAATTTTCAACTACATGGGGGCTCAGCACTCCTAACCCCCAAGGTGTTCAGGGGTCAACTGTAACACCCCAGGGTCCAAATGCAGCCAAGGCTTGCTTATTTAGTGTTTAAGAGTGGCTTATGGGCATTTTTAGACTGCTGTCATTAAGGATGAAAAAAGTCAGGTAGGAGCAAAGGGAAGTAGGGAGTGGAAGTCAAACAAAATTAAGTAACAGCTGATCTATTAATTTTAGAAAGAAAAAGAAATTAGGTATGATTCTATTTAGGAACAGTGTACACATCCAGAGATTTACTTCATAATAAAAGGGTTGAGTACTTCTTACTGTTTACAAAGAGGTCATTCACATATGACTCCTTAAAACTGACTTATTAAACAGAGAAGGTAAGTAATATCCCATTTCACAGGTGAGGAAAATGAGGCTTGGAAAGGCTATGTACCTTGCCCAAGATCCCACAACCAGTATGTGATTCTGGCCCCCTCACATTCAACCGCTCTCCTCTAGCACAGTTGCTGAGTGGCTCTTTTACTCTGGGTGATGTTCATGATTCTCCACTTTGGTTTTCTGTCTAGATGGCCTAAGTCTCAGGTGAGAACACACAGAGGTCCATAATCTGGCTAGAAGGTAAAACCAGGCAACATATCCCCCTTCCTTCCATCAACAGAATCTTGGGGGTAGGAGGGGGGAAGGGACAGGAGCCCAGTCTAGGAAGGAGGCACCAGAGGTGGACTGCACACCTCCCTCCTTGGACGCCTCTTCAGACACTATCACCTATCAGGGTCCCATGAAGGAAAATGGAAAGCCACGTGTGAAGCAGAGCAACCTCTGAAGTAAGTACACACAGAGACTGTGAGAAGCAAAAGCACCACGTGAATGAGTGAGATTGCTTCACTCTGGCATCAAGTCCACACCCCTCATACTCCTCACAATGCCTATTTGGAGTGGCTTTCCTTCATAAAACTCTGTAATTGTAACCAAGGAAATTACTAATTCCGTGGCTTTCATAAAACACAGAGGTCCACCAAATGTTTGCTTTGGCAGATTTTGTTTTCCTCCCAAAGGGCAGCCCATCCAGTCCTGCAATAAAGCAAGCTTTGTTGTAAAGATTTACAGTGTTTTCCCAATGAAAATTCTAATTGACAACCATCAGGCAAATAACAATGCATTGCAAAGAGAGCTCCAGTTTCACCCATTCTTCCAAGATCTGTCTCAAAGAAGCATTCACTGCTTAGGTTTCCTGGACCGGTGTTTAGTGTAGTCTTTATTTGGATACATGCATAAGTAGATGCTTGTATATTAGAAGTTTATCATTCAAAGCAGTCAAATCTTAAAAATCAAAAGACTTCAAGTTCAAAGACAGGAAATTTCATTTACTTCCCAAGCTCAGAATTACCGGTCCTTCCACACAGAATATGCATATGACATAAAAACGCAACCATGCCTTTTCCATGTAAGTTGGGGGGAACCCTAAAAAGTGAAGTGCATAAAAAGCTCTTCAGAAATAGTTGCACAAGAATATCAAATGCACTGTTATTCAACGGATTCATCACAGGATAAAAGTTCAAATAGCAGAGGGAGTGATTTTCATATGAATGCTGGGTGTTGCCAGTCACATACAAGAGCCTATCATTGACACAGAGAACCAAGTCACATCAAGCAAGTCAGAGGAGCAGTGAGTGACAAGGTATAGAGAGGGCTGTTCAGATAAGGGACAGACATTACTGGATGCTTTTTCAAAGAAAACTTTGAAGATTTTGTTAGACTTTCTTCGTGGAACTGTCAAAAGTAGCAATACAATTGTAAATGAGTAGTACTCAGGGACCACATCACTGCCATTTATAGGCCAGCTGCCAGGGGCTGCCCGTGATGGGAAATTAGCATTAAAGAAGGACCCGGAGTTACTGGGCTGACACACAGCCCAATGAGAATACTCTCGAATAAGGTAAGACACCCAGTACAGTCACACAAATCAAAACCAAAATAAAAACTGTCTGTAAAGAACAGTAGCAAACAGAAATCTTCCTTCTTTCTGAACCTTCCTCAATCTCACCCTTCGCCAATATCCAGTCCCACAGTAAAAACAAATATCATGTATTTCCAGTTGCACAAGACAGATTAAGGAGAGTGAAGCTGGTGGAAGAGGTGGACAAATAACACAACTTATCCTCCTTTTTCTAAACAAAAAGCAGAGAAAGGAACCAAAGGAAGAAAGTGCAGCATGAATAGGCAAGAGCCCCAGACAGGAGTCAGGGGACCTGAATCCTCATGAGGCTGGTGTCTACCACAAACTGTTTGTTGACAAGTCTCTTAACCTTCCGAATTTCCAAGTCCTTCTCTGTAAGGGAAAAAATTCATCTAGAGATCAGCAGTTCTGAAATTGCACTTCCTGGAGCTTTAGGGTTTTGTGGAGGTGCCTCCTCTAAGGAAGCCACAGCAACATGGGAGGACGGTGAAAGGGGCCCCATGCCACCTCTCAACCCAAAAGACTTCAGAGCTGATCCATTTCACATTTTGAGTGTCAAGTAAAGCCTTTTGTTTAAAAATTTCTATTACCAAGACAATGGACAGCTAAAATGGCTTAAAAGCATTAGATCTGCCGGGCGCAGTGCCTCATGCCTGTAATCTCAGCACTTTGGGAGGCCAAGGTGGGCGGATCACAAGGTCAAGAGATGGAGACCATCCTGGCCAACATGGTGAAACCCCATCTCTACTAAAAATACAAAAATTAACTGGGCGTGGTGGTGGGAGCCTGTAATCCAAGCTACTTGGGAGGCTGATGCGGGAGAATTGCTTGAACTGGGGAGGTGGAGGTTGCAGTGAGCTGAGATCACGCCACTGCACTCCAACCTGGGTAACAGAGTGAGACGCCGTCTCAGAAACAGACAGACAAAAAAAAAGCATTAGATCAACATACCTTATAGCTTTTTAATCTTTATGGTTATATGGTTTCTATGTGCTTCTTTGGAATATTGCTTTCAGAATTAACCAGCTGATTGGCTGGTTAATATTGATCCTCAAATCTGTATAACAGTTTCTCCTAGTCAAAAAATGAGGAAATCTGCAACTCAGTTAGGACAAGTAACCTACAATTATACAGCTCAATAGTTAACAAGATTTAAACCCAGAAATGTCTGACATTAAAACCATCAAGCTTGACTCTGTTCTAATAGATAAAGAATAAACCTCACTGTGGAAAACAAGTGGTTTCCTTGTTATTATTGCGATTTTTTTTCTCCATGGAACATCAGGTTCTTCAACTGTATTCCCTAAAAGAAAACACTTACCCTGGTGAGAATAAATGAATAGCCACAAGTTCGACCCAACAAGCAAATCTGTTCGGTACAGGAAAGCCCAAAATGTTGACAAAGCCTCCAGGGCAATAATGGTTGTTAAGAACTTTCAAAGCAAACAAAACTCCTAAAAGAGAATGAAGAACATGCAAATATTAACAATCCAAAAGTAGGAGTATCAACATTTACAAAGAAAGCCAATTAAAAGTGAAAATGATTATTCGATTACATCCAACTTTGTGCTTTAAAACATACCCTATTCCTTAAAATCCTGCATTCGGTAAAAAGACAACGTTAAAGGCAGTCACGCCTTTGATGTTTCTAAATATAGAAGTTCATATTGGTGTTCAGTATGCTACTAAATACATAACACCTAACATGTGAATAAAATACTATCATTGGTATTAAATGCCAGTGAACTGTACACTATAAAATAGTGTACACTATAAAATAAAATAGTTAAGCTATATAATTTTAACTCAATAAAAATACCAGTAATTTGTATTTTTCTAACCTCTATGGAAAAACATGCTGAAGGCAGGGCATATATTCTTTCTTCTCCCACAATTAGATGCATAAGGATACATCTTAGAAGGAAAGGGGGAAGGATGTCAGGAAAAGCAGAAGGAAGGATTAGATTAGATTTCCTTGTTTCAGGACTTTTCTCTCTTCCCCTTCACATTCTAATATTTACAACACCTAATTTAAATCCTGCTGGAAATTTTGGTCCCATGAAATATCTGTAAAAAGGAACTAGTGACGAAGAAGGTTAGAGACAATGCATCATACAGCTAATACGCAGACTGGGTTCAAATCCCAGCTCCATCGCTTCCTAGCTGGGTAACCTTGTGCTAGTGACTTCACTTCTCTGGGTCTTGCCTTCCTCATCTATAAAATCAGGACAATCCCTCAACAGTCTGCAGGTGGTCAGAAAAAAAAAATTAAAAATAAAAAAAGTAAAATAAAATCAAGGCCGGGCACAGTGGCTCACGTCTATAATTCCAGCACTTTGGGAGGCCAAGGTGGGTGGATCACAAGGTCAAGAGATACAGACCATCCTGGCCAGCATGGTGAAACCCCATCTCTACTAAAAATACAAAAATTTGCTGGGCATGGTGACACGTGCCTTGTAGTCCCACCTACTCGGGAGGCTGAGGCAGGAGAATCGCTTGAACCTGGGAGGCGGAAGTTGCTGTGAGCCGAGATCACGCCACTGCCCTCCAGCCTGGCGCCAGAGCGAGACTCCGTCTCAAAAAAATAAAAAAATAAAATCAAGACAATCCCATCTCCACATGGATCTGCTGTATAAATTAAATTGGTCTGCATATGCAGGACAGTTCTCCAGGTGGACTTGGACCTATGTAGTTCTCCCCCTCCTTTCTCACTTGTCGTTCTCAAGAATAACTGTGGAAATGTGCTGGAAATTCAACACCCTGAGATAAAAGGGGGTTGGCTGAAACAGCCTAATCCTCTCCCCAAATAGGATGTCTTTCAAAGCTTTGCCCAGTGATTCATGTGATTCCCAGGTTTGTACCTGGCTGCCTCTTCGGGGTTCCTTATTTGCATGAAAGGAGCACACACAGTCAAGACTCCAACAGCCCTGGGCAGCTTTTTGAGCCTTGAAGGACGGGCTCACAATGAATCCTAGGCTCCTGTTGTCCCTTGCTGCCTAACGGCAAATACTAAATCTGCCTCATGTAACTTGTTGCAGATGAGTGTGCTCTGTCTCACCAGGTGCGGACAAGCTGGTAACCAGAGACAGCATACTGAGCCTGCTTCACAAGCACAGTCATCTTTTTTGAGACCTCCCTATTACAAATCCATCTGTGGGTCTTTCTGTGACCCTACCGTATGGAGCTGGTGCATATTTCCAATACTATGTCTTCTACAAACCACCTCCCAGCAGGTCCTAGTGCAGACTGTCTAAGAGTGGGTGATGCAGCATAATGTAAAATGGCAAAAACTAGTCCCTGCATGCTCCAGCCTCCTCTTCAAGATGCAAAGCATCAGCAGCCATTAACCACTTAGAATTCGGTTCCTCTCACCAACTAGGGACCCACACTTCATAAAATGACAGCAGCCACACCTCCCTTGCTTCCTTTATGCATGCAACCTCAAAATTTTGTCTCCCTTACCTGAGAAACCTACAGCACAGCTCCTTTTGAAGTCAGGTTCATCCATAAATTCGGCAACAGCAAATTGCAAGAGCAGGTATACCACTCCAGTAAGTATAGAAAATGTGGTGATAACAAAGGCAAACCATCTACTTCCCAGTCTTCTTTCTAGATGTATGCCTTTCCAGAGCATGGATGCCATATTGAAATACAAATGCCAATCATTAGCATGGTGAAGGGGAGAGAGCAGTAAACGCTGCCAGTCTTTTTGCTGGCAACACTTCTCCACACTAAGGCAGGAGCTGTACAGTGGCTTCTGAGGGTTCAAGAAGAACCAGATGTTGAGGGCCAAAGTTGCTAGGGTGACAGGTGGAATACTGTTGATCCCAACATTGAAGATTTGAGAAAGGAGTAGAATAAGCCCAGTATTTATCCCTCTTGATCTCCGTTGCATGGCCAGATATCAGGGAAATAGCTCAGCAATGGGAAGGCGTGGTCAGGCAGTCAGTTTTAGGTATCTAGGGAGATATATAGACAGCTGAATCTAAAACACAAAATGCATGTGAAAAACAATCAATTAAGAATTAGTACACATATAAGACATACTCACTTCAAGACAAACTCCCTTAAGGTAAATGCTACTACTCATTCTAACAGAAATATTTATGTTCAACATCTTCTAGAGTAATATCTAGGATGCTGACTGACACCCTTCCTTCATTTTACATTCTAGAATAGAAATTTTATCCCAAATCCCAATGAATCAGTTAATGGACAGTTTTCTCTGACAAACACGTCACGAAATTAACTTGACTTCCTTATAAACAAACATGTAACCTCATGAAAAACCTACAAAGATAGTGTGCAAGCATTAAATGATTTCTACTCAGAATCCTAGCCAGGATTCTTTACCCCCTCCATTTTTTTCAAAGAAATATTTGATTTTGATATGTTAGAATGAGTTTGCTCCGAAGTTTTTAAACATCAACAAGCAAGTTTGAAGACACAAGCATACATTATCTTGAATCCCAATTTTCATGCTGCCAGATACCAATGGTCTGACATCTACTTTCACAACAACTTCAGCTTTTCGTTACCTCCTCTACAAGCCAAATCCTGGGTTGATACACAGTCCTTGGTTTTAAGAGGCTCACTTTCCACCGAGAAATAAACCAACAGCGGCCACATGATGTTCTAACTGCAGTGAGAGAGGAACCCAGAGCACAGGCACAAACGCAGCCTGAGGTGGTCATCTAACTATGAGAACTATGAGATCTAACATTAACCCCAAATCAAGGGTGATATTGTTGATCCCAACAATATGATTTGGGGTTAATGACAATGAGAAGTTCCATGGCTTACTAGCCCGCTTCTCCACCCTGCTGGACCTGGGCTGGCATTGTGACATGCTTTGGCTAACAGAATGTGGAGGAAGTGATACTACATGAGCTCCCAGCCTACACCTCAAGATGATTTATAGGCTTCTCTCTTGAAACCCTCTCAAGCAACCATGTGAACTTTAGGCCAGTGTGCTGAGTAATGAAAGAAAGGTACAGACTGCAGTCACCCTGAAGGTCCTTGCCACTGGTCAGCTGCTTCTCCAGAGGTGAAGCTGTCTAGCTGACCACAGGTATACAAGTGAGTCCAGTTGAGCCCAGCCTAATTTGCTGATGCACAAAACAGTAAGCTAAATAAATGGTACTTGGTTTACTTCACTGAGCTTTGGAGTGGTTTGTTATGTAACAATTACAACTAATACAGAAGGTATTGCCTTTGGGGAGTGCTATGGTTTAGGTGTTTGTCCCTCAAACCTCATGTTGAATGAATGAACGAATGAATGTATTTATTTGTTTAGAGCCCTCACTAATGTAGTCCAGGCTGAAGTGCAATGGCATGATCTTGGCTTACCGCAACCTCCACCTCCTGGGTTCAAATGATTCTTATGCCTTAGCCTCCCGAGTAGCTGGGATTACAGGCAGGTGCCACCATGCCCAGCTATTTTTAGTAGAGACTGGGTGTCACCATGTTGGTCAGGCTGGTCTTGAGCTCCTGACCTCAGGTGATATGTCTGCCTCAGCCTCCCAAAGTGCTGGGATTATAGGCAGGAGCCACTATGCCCGGCCTCATGTTGAAATCCGATCCCCAGTATTGGAGTAGAACCTAATGGGAGGTGTTTGGGTCATGGGGGAGTATCCCTCAAGAAAAGATGAATGCCCTCCCTGGGGTCAGGGGGTGAGTGAGTTCTCACTCTTATTAGTTCCTGCCAGCGCTGATTGTTAAAAGAGACTGGCACCTCCCCACTCCCTTGCTTCCTCTCTCACCACATGATCTCTGCACATGCTAGCTCCCCTTCACCTTTCACCACAAACGGAAGTGGCCTGAGGCCCCCACCAGATGCTCAATCTTGAACTTTAAGCCGAAAGAACTGTGAGCTAAACAGACCTCTTTTCTTTATACATTACTCAGACTCAGGTATTTATAGCAACCCTAAACGGACTAAGACAGGGAGAAATTGGTTTATGCTCATGGGAAGAAGCTAGTAAGGGAAGAGGTGCAGGCAGAGACACAGATAAATAAAAAGGATGAAGTGTTTGGAGGCAAGAGCCTTTTCCTCTTAACAGAAAGAAAAGAAAAATAGGTGTAGTTATGGATATTAAATAGATTAGGGGCAAAATGTTGAAAAAGTTCTCATCTAATGGTTTCTGTTTTCTCTATGGAGATTAATTGGCCCCCAACCAAACAGGTAACTCACTCTTATACCCTAAGGACTCTAACTGCACACTGGACAATGTATGAGCTTTAGAGTATTAAAAAAAAAAAAGGCAGGATCTTCCTATCTTCCAGCTCTGTGACTTGGGGCAAATCATTTAAACTTTCTGAACTTCAACTTCTTCACTTTAAGAATCATAAACCCTCCTTCCCAGGATTACTGTAACATGCTTGGAACAAAAGAGCTGCAGAATAAACAGTAGCTACTACTTTCATTTCTATAAACTTATGTGAGAATTAATTCCTTTGCAAATGGTAACATCCTAAAAAGACTCAAATGTGTGTGTGCATACACACACACACACACACAATTAGCCATATACCTGCACATGTATGCACACACACATTATTGGCACAACCCCATGTATTAGCACAACCCAAGTTTCTATACTGTTATTATTGTAGCTCTGTAGCATTCTTATGAACTAGAGAATTTAATGAAATTTAAACTGAAATGCTTCCAAATAACTCTGGATAAATGACCTATATTTTTCACATTAGAACTCAAGTCAATTTTCAAATCTTTTCCTACTGTGACTTTTTTGTAATTCTCCTAAATTTATCAACATGTGTGTACACGTGTGCACACATACACATAAATATGTATATTATATATATCAAGCATTATTACCTTTAATAGGAACAATGAAAAAACTGGCCTTGATTATTGATCAGTAAATAATCAGCTTACAAGAAATCACAAAATAAACCCTTCAATATCATTGCCAAGAGTGTCTTATGATGCTGGGCTTTATGTAGCAGAAAATCAAAACTACATCTTTGCTCAAGAAAAACTTGCCCCTCAATTACAATCATTAGTAATGAAGAATATAGATAAAAGGACAGAATTCCCAGTCTTACTTTACACTGTGTCCCAGGCTCTGATTGCACTTTCCTAAGTTACTTCTGGCCAGATGAAAAGGTGTCTTTGTGTCTGCATCCCTTCGCACCTCCCAGCTCTCCACTGTTGACTGCTCCTGCTTCCATGGGACACCTTGCTTTCCTGAGGCTTCACTCCTCCTTCCAACCCGTTTCTCTGCTGTTCGCTTCTCCTCTATCCCCTGCACACACTAAAGGGCTTCCACTTTCATGATTTTTGTAATTCTTTTTATCAGGATGATGCCCAAATTTCTATTTTTCAGCTTTGATTTCTCAGCAGGTTCCAGGGACATAATCTTAGAGGAAAATATAGTTTGCCTGCTGCCTTGGTTTCTGAAAACTGAATTATCCTTTCTCACAGAACAATGATTCAGCCATTCCTTCTTTCACTCATGTATTTAATAAATATTTATCAAGTGCCATATGCATGCCAGTCCCTGTGCCAGGCACTGGAGGTACAGCAAATAACAAAACACTTATATTCCCAGTCTTTAAATGGCCTACTTATACTTGTTGAAGGAATAAAAATATTGTCCACAGGAAATCAAAAGAGAAGTAAAATTGTGTGGCTTTACTTCTCCATAAATGCATACTTAATGCCAAAGAAGATATAACCATAGCCAATGTGAGAAGTGCATATCTGTTGGGCTCCACCTTTGTAAACAAAGGCCATTAGAGTCCCAGTGTAGGTAGAACATATGTTTTGAGTCTTTAGTAGTAGGAAAGACAAATCAGTCCTAGTTCATAACAACTGTAGAGCAGTTTCCTTTCTAATCAGTTACCAAGTCAGCCATGCAAGGTGAGGGATGCAGCCTGTCAAAAGACAACTTAGAAAATCCAACTTAACCATGTAAAGATCAAATCTGTAACCTGACCTTGTGGGCCAGAGAGGCACGGTTCTAGGAACACCAAGGAAGACCGATCACAGTAAGTGAGCACTGACTATAAAATAAATATGGTTAATGTTTTGACTATCAAATACATAGAAATTTTTAGAGTGCTGCACTATCTGAAAGACCACAGAGGCATCATCAGTTATAGCAACTTACCTGTGAACTGAAAACCTGTAAAATCTATTGGGTTTTAGAAACAGTTTACGTATTATAACTTGTATCCAGACCACAAGCCAGTTACCAGAGTTCAAGAAAGGACAGTCCCTGTGCTCCCTTACCTTACAAACACACCCTCCCCACCAGACTCTACATACCCCAAGCTGAACACTGGACTGTCCTTCCCAATCAGCTCCTCCTCTCATGCTCTCCACCTCAAGACACAGGATTTCCACCTATCCAGTTGTTCAAGCCAAAGACGTAGAAAAGTCCTTGATATGTCCTTTGACCTTAACCTTATCACCCTGCTACCCCCAAATCCTATCCATCAAGTTTTATTAATTCTTCTAAACAGTTTTTTTATCAATCTACTTCTTTCTAGCTCTAGGGCCACTACTTTAGTCTGGGTCACCATCATAGCTTGCCTGATTACCATAAAATCCAACCAACTGAATCCTCTGCTTCTCCTCTGATACCATTTTCACCACTGCTTAGCATAATCTTGTATAAAACTGAAGTTGGACTCCCCAGTAGTAAGCCTTTGATGGCTTGTCATCACAGCAAGAATAAGTTCAAACTCTTGAACCAGGTGGTCTCATCTCAAGCTGGTCTCTGCATCAGTCACTATGCTCCAGTCGCATGGGTGCTACCAAATCAGTAGCTCCAGGATTACAGTATAAACAGCCAAGGGCAGGAGTATAAACAGCCAAGGGCAGGAATAACCTTATCTGTTTTGATCACCAACAGTACTCAGAGCCACCATAGGATCACCACAAATACACAGTGACAGGCATATGGTCCATGCTTAGTAAATGCACTTGTCCCTGGGTATCCATGTTCCAGGACC